CAACTAACCTATGCAGTTTCTATTAGATCTTAAAGTTGAACAAATGAATGTTTAAAAAAAAAGTTCTTTTTAACTCGCCTTTTGATACCCATTATGAATCAATAGATTATTTGGACTTACAAGACCTGTATCAGACATTTTTCTGTACAAAAAAGAATAAATAAAAATACGAAAAACAAAATATTCAAGGCGTTCAAAAGGACCAACTTTCTAAGCCATTTTCTAAATAATATTTGAAATCTTTTTTAGAATTTCGAAAATAAAAAATAAAAATGTTAGCGAAGATGGTTTTGAGTACTTTGAAATGTGCTCTTTCTCATCATGTAGCTCAAAGTTCGTTGCAATCAAATTGAAGATCGAAAGTGCAGACTTTTCAAAATCCTATTCAAAATGACACAAATCGAAAATTTATCCTCAGCGCAATTGAAGAAGAAAATTTTAACTCAACTTTCACTTTTGAATCTGGTACATTGATCATTTTCCATCAAAATAAAGAAAATCCGAACCCAAAAGATGCTATTTTGGCTTAGTTATGCCTCTTTTTTTCAGAAGCTTCGGAATCATAGACTGAAATAACTAATTTCTCGAAAATGTGAAAAAGAAGATTATTGGTGAACGTCACAAGGATGAACGTGAAAATTTCAAATTAAGATCGATTAATAGAAATTTTCAAGGGCTATAAAACGCCTATATTATTTTATTTTTGTCGTCACTAGCCAACGAAAAAAATCTACAACTGCCACTTTTCAACTGAGAAAGTCGGTCCTCTTGAACGTGCTAAGTATTGTTGTTTTCATATTGCTATTTCTCTTTGCATACAGTAAAATGTCTGATACAGATTTCGTAGAGAATTCAACGGGGAATCTTTCAAGTCTAGTTTCAACTCTATAGGATCAAAGCTGGGAGAGATATTCACGAAATACAAAGTGTGCCATTATTTCTGGGCCACCCGTTAAACTGTTAAAAATGTTTGATTAGTCGGTCAAAAACACGTTAGAACAATTTAAGACTAAGATTTTTTAACGTGTTTTGGATGTTTCAACGCTGAGAGAAATTGAATCTTTCACTGCTTTAACATGTTTTTGGCGATTGCTCAAACATTTTAAACAATTTTCAGATTTTTGATGAAAAACCTGGTAACAATTAATGAACATTTCGTTTAAATAATGAAGGAACAACAAATGTACGGTGCATTTCACAAGTCCATACACAAAAATGTTTTTTCGAATAATTTGATTACTGATTGATCTTCATCAACAGACTTTTCTCGTACGATAGGTGACAAGATCAAGTTTTTATTTCTATCGACAAACTATTAAAGTACTCTTTAAAGTAATTACCTTCAACCAATATACAAAAATTCAACATTCTTTTGGTTCCATTATAATATTTCGCAATGTTTATTTTTTAGTCATCTCAATTTCTAGATTATTATAATCTTTGAATTGTTCAAACCACAAACAGTCGTTTTTTTATAAATTTGTTTTGATATCTCTTAGTAAAAAGGAATCGGATAATATAAAGTGCAAAGTGAAACAATTAAAAAAGAAACGCTGCAAAATATTATTATGAAATCAGAAAAAAAAAAAGTTGAATTTTTGTAACTCGGCTAATGGTAATTACTTTAAAGAGAAATTTCAATGATTGCCTATAGAAATAAAACCGTGATGGTGTCACTTATCATGCGAAAGAAAATCAGCTGATAAAGTTCAATCAATTGTGAAGTTATGTGAAAAAACATTTTTGAGTGCAAAATTATTGGACACCCTGTAAATGCTTTGTATCAATCCCTGAAAAGCAATTACTACAAGAAGATTTATCACTACACTGTCGGTGTTTGATGCTTTAAAAAAATTGTAAAGTTAGATAACTCGATTACAATCTGGATCAATGCGGTTGCTAAAACCAACGTTCTCAGGGATACTGAGTATCACAGTTAACAAAATGAAACTGCAGTTCTCTCGAGTAGTATCAATGTGGGATTCGAAAAACCACACTTTATAGCAGTTTTCTTCAAAATATTTCCCGTGGTGAGATCGCTTACAGTTAGACTACTGGCCATCATCCAGAATAAAACTTTAGACATCGTGAATTATGAAAGAAAATTGTTCAAAATAACCAGAATTTTGATTTCTTATTACTTAAACAAGCAAATCTTAGATATGTACAACGAGAAGTACAATGGACAGCGTAATAATTAACAAAACAATGATTAAAAATATAATATATCTATGAATCAATCCTTCTACAGTACGTAAAAATACGTGCAGAATATATATATATGTTTGAGTGACTACTCTTACTCTAGTGCAAAAGAAAGCACTTAAAAAAAACTTTAGGACTCAAGTGAAAATTTATTGCACCCCTAAAGTATTTTTACGGGAGGCCATTGCTACGCTTTGTAGTACTGCTGCGCAACCTATGCTGGAAATCGCTGTTGTCAATAAGCATACCATAGTATATGGAACCAGTAATTGCCATGATATCCGATGCCACGGTTCGCAGTGAGATAATCACGGCGGTATGCAATACCACAGTTGTCAGTAAGCATACTGCTATGTTCCAAACACGAAGAAAAAACGTGATATCTGATACCGTGGTTCTTACTTAGTATACAGGTGTATCTCAAGCTGATAACCACCGCGATAACAGGTATCACGGTTGTCTGTAAGCAAACTATGGTATTCGAAACTCGCAGATACCGTGATATCCACAACCGCAGTTTACAACAGTTCTTTTTCAACAAATTTTTCCGTATGTGCAGATATGCATTACTTATACTGAATCATAGATGGATTGTAACTATGGGCGTAAACTGACGTCGATAGCTAGCCTAGGCAACTACTCTTTAATTGAGATGAAGCACAAGTGAACAGATGAAAATGCAACAACTAGTAATCGAAAGAGAAAGAAAAGAATGATTGGTTTTTTCGTGAATCGAAAGGAATAACAGGACAAAACAAAAGAGAAATTGTTTCAAAAGTAGGCCAATGATGAACTATGTTTCTATCTGTTGAAAAAACAAACGATATATAATAAGAAACAACTAATTCTTGAAACTGGATGAAACGATTTAATGCGAACTTACCTATTTATTCTTCAATTATAAGCAACCAAATAATAGACTAACTTAATTCTTTTCGTTGATCATGCATTTCACTCATATATATATAGTAACTTTTAAACGAGAGAAAAGAGAGAGTTTCGATATCATATTATTCAAGAGGTAAACAATAATATACACCAATGGGTGAAACTTTTTCCACTCTTTGAAATAACAATAAGCTGGTAGCTGTGGTAGGGGTGAAGGGAAAAAGATTCTTTCCCAGGGGTGTATGTGGTCAATACGTTATCTTAACATATATTGTTACCAGTTGCAGGTGTTGCTTATCATATAAAAATTTAAGTGTCATTATTATTCATTTGCTTATTGATGTATGGGAGTGTACGACCAAACTACAGTTGACTTTCTTAAACGTGCAGTACAATTACTGACGTTGAACAATATGATATTATAATGTTCGTTGGAAAAAGAGTGTGGATGTAGGTGGGTGGGGATATGCGTGTGCGAATGAAGTGTGTAGTTTGGCTGTGGGTGGATGTGGGTGTCGAGTGTGAGGTGTTGGTATGGATGGAGGGTGTGGATATAGGGAGTTTATGGGCGTGGATAGGTTTGTGTGGGTGTGCGCGTGTGTATGAAGTCCTTCTCATCGACACCGACACCCAAATCCATCTCAAACCCAAACCCACACCGACACTCACACTCACGCCACACACCATCCATCCCACACCCACACCCAACCCTACACCCCACACTCACACCCCACGCCCCACACCCTGCACCCACCTCACACCCAATCTCCACGCCACAAACCTCACACTCATCCACGATTCTTAATGCAGAAGAATGGTATACAAAGGATAGTTTTATATTTAAATTAATAAATAAAGCTTTTCGAGCAGAAGACATCGAATCGCTGTATACATTTCGTTTTTTTCTTATTGATTTATGTTCACAATTAGCTGATAATGATCAAATGTTATTGGAATGTTATAGATCATTGAAACTTTATCGAGGAACGAAATAGACATAAGATGAAATCTAACGCCTAAAAAATAGTATTGGTCACCTGATATCAATCAACAAATTGCTTTCAACACATGAAAATCAAAATGTAGCAGAAATGTGTGCTAGTATTGATGTTGTTAATCCTAATACTAATAGCAACAATTTAGAGTCGATTATTTTTGAAATTAATTACAATACAAGTTTGCATCGATCATGTATTGTAGCTAATATTACATACTACAGTCAACTTCGAGACGAAGACGAATTTTTATTTGATCTTGGAACAGTTTTTGAAATAGAAAAGTTTTTCTATAATGATGACAAGAAATGTTGGATGTGCAAAATCATTCCTTCGGGAAAAGATGTAGAAATAGCTAAAGAATATGTTAATTTCCAAAGAAATGAAATGAACGATGGTAAACTAGATGTTTTAGTTTTATTTGGTAATCTACTGTATGATATAGGAGAATATAGTAAATGTCGTTATTATTTTGAAAATTTATTAACTATTCAATCTGATAAAAATGTCCCTACTATTATTGACATCTATCGAGGATTATGACGAGTATTTCTTGGCATATGTGAATTTGAATTATCACAAAAGTATTTACAGCATGCTTATAATTTATGTATCAAAATTGAATCATCTTCTCCTAGCAAACTTGGGAGAATATTGAGCTATATAGGTTATACATATGATTTCCAAGGTAAATTCGATATTGCGTTGATCTATTATTTGAAAGCTTTTCAAACAATTGAAAATGATCTCAATAACAAAAGACTTAAAGCGTACATATTAAGCAGAATCGGTATTACATATTATCACAGAGGACAAAATGATTTGGCTTTAGAATATTTTAAAAAATCATACGAATACATTGGAAACTCGGTACCCGACGATCATTCTGACATATCTGAATATTATAACAATATGTACATGGTTCATTATCATAAAGGATATTATGATGAAGCATTATACTATCAAACGAAGTCGTATGAACGCGACCAAAGAATTTTTCCTACTGATAATCATATTGATCTTAGCGTGAACACAAATAATATTGGTAAATCTTATTATAAAAAATGTCAATATACAGAAGCTATGAGAGATTTTAAAGAAAGTTTAGATGTAGCTAGACGCGTATTACAGGGCAATGATAATTATAGGGATATGGGTATGAGAATCAATAACATTGGAAAGTGCTTTTATAGACAAAAAAATATTATGAAGCTTTGAAACATTTTGCATAGTATTGAAGTTGATAGAGAAGGCTGACTTAAATGATCATGTTGATTTGGGATACACATTGAAAAATATAGATGAAGTCTATTTGGATTTATTAAATTTTGAATTGGCATTAAATTATTTTACGCAAGCACTTGATATATATAAGAAAACATTCGATGATTTACAACATCGTGATGTAGCAAAGTGTTTAAATCTTATTGGTGAAGTTTATTATGGTAAAAACAATCATGATGATGATAGTACATGTCACAACTATTACAGTCAAGCATTAAACATATGAAAAAGTGTTTTACCTTGTAATCATCCAGATTTGCCATTATGTTATAAAAATATAACTCTATTTTATCTAAACAGAAAATTAGACTATATTGAAGCAGAAAAAATACTTCAAAATATCATATCATATATACGACAGATATTACCCAAAGATCATGCAGACTTGATTGAAATACACCATATACGGAAAATGATTTCAAAATCCAGACAACATTCACTGCTGTTTATGACGATTAATACTGTGAAACTAATTTTATTTTTTTTTGTTATCTTCAGTCGGCTTTTGGTTCCAGCAGCGTTTTATGAAACACGAATGTAAACGAGCGTTGAAGAATAAAGTGAAAAAAGTGAGCTATTACATATATCTCGCATTGAGTATGGGCCTGAGTCTTATCTTTGTTCGTTCACCCGCTCCTCCCTTGATAGTCAGGCGCAATAGGGTGTGAATACCAGTTTCCAATCAATCCACATCCGCCGAATACAAGTAACTGGTGTGAGTGTGGGTGTGGATGTGTGTAGATAGGTGTCGGTGTGTGGATGCATTTAAAAGGAATACCTACACTCTGAACTCTTTTCCGAATATTGATAGCTCATCATGTCCATAGTCTTAGTGTCAAAAGAATGGAACATTTGGAGAACTTCTCTTGTCAGTTTTATTGCTCATTACTCCTTTGGATTTCTTTTAGAATTAGATCACAAATCTTTTCTATTACATAGCATTAAAATAATCATTTGATAGGCTGACATGTATAGAGTGTGTTTTCATTCGTTGATTGTTTTTTGAATTTTTTTATCGCCATCAATACAGTGTTTTGATTTCTCGTAAAACCTTTCACTCAAACTTACTCTACCGAAAAACGATTGCAATGCCAAACGACAATCATTGTATATATTCTAATCACATTCAATGCGATGAGACCTACTAGTAGGCCTCACTCTATTTTAACAAGAAGCTTAATAGAAAACACTTTCTTGCCCCTTTTCCTTAGACGGCAGGTTACACACAATGCTCTGTTTGCTTTGCCTCTGCCATTTTCTCAGTCATTTATTGTATAGTGTGATGTTTCTCATGAAAACAATTAAGACAAAAAAATTGTCACAATCAAAACAGAAGATTATTATTTTCTTGGCTGTCACTAGATTCGCTGCTCTTCATTTTTGTTGCCTGATTTTCTCGTATCAGGGTGTGGGTGTGTCTGAAACTAATACCAACATAAACACCTACATGCACACCTACACCCCAAAATAATAGATTGTTGAAACTTATTAAGTAAGAGTTTGAAAAAAGCATCGATACTGAACAACTATGGTAAAAATAACAGGTCTATTATGCAAAGAAGTATTGCCAACAGAAATACAAATTATTTTTATGGAACTATTTTAAGTTGACAAATGAAGATTTTCGAAAGTTTGAATTGCTATCATTTATAGAATAAAACAAATCAATATAGATGTGTCTTCTATTATAAAAACCAAGAGTCATGTACAATTCACATTATAACCGACTACAGGTTCATATTCAACTATCGGATCAAGAAAATTTTCATTAGTTTCAACTTTGATGTGCATATTTTTAAGAGGAACCAATGGTAAACCAATAACGAAAAAAGAACTGCTGTTATATATGAATCATTTAAAGCTTTATATTGATTTTTTCTAGTCCATAATTCTATACATCTAGATCCTTTTTATTTAACAATTAAGAATGATTGAATCGATGAATAAGAACAACAAATAGATTTGAAGTACAGTAAATTTTTCTTGAGTCAAATAAGAAAAAGAGAACATGATAATGTCTATTTGTCAAGCCAAAATTGAATACAATGGTCTGAAACATAGCTATATTCGAATTGACAGTTTTGTTCAGTACCAATAACCTCTTTTAACATGTATTATTTAACCGTTCGATGGTGTAAACCCCTCTGCAGAATAGAAGCCCACCCTATAATAGAAGCCCATCCGGAATAGAAGCCCAGTCCCAAAGTTATAGTTTTTCCGGACGTAATAGAAGCCCACTCGAAGTGTGTATATATAGAGAAATCAAGAAGACAAACATTCTATTGATAATTTTCAATTTTTTTAAATTAAATGTTCATGTCATCAATCTATTTCTTTCGTTTTGTATATCTTCTTCTTTGACTATTGAACTTCGTTCGTCAATTGTGACCGTCGACAATTTTGTATAGAAAAAATAATTCTTTTTATTGTGTTCTAATTTTCGATATAAAAACAA